AGAGCTGCAAGGCCAAGGGGCGGGGGAGGAAGCGCCTATAAAATGGCACCTCACTGGGAATTTGCAGCCTTGGCTGAGTTTCACACAGTCTTTTTCTCATGGATACAGGAGGGATGTGATTGTCCTCCTCTACTTCGTTCTGGTGAGACCCCAGCAGGGGCGCTGCGTCCAGCTCGGGGTCCCCAGCACAAGACAGACGTGGGCCTGTTAGAACAAGTCCAGAAGAGGGCCATGAAAATGGTGGGAGGGGTGGGACACCTCCCCTGTGAGGAAAGGCAGAGAGAGTTAGGGTTGTTCAGCCTGGAGAAGAGAAGGCTCTGGAGAGACCTTACTGCGGCCTTTCAATACTTAAAGGGGACTGATAAGAAAGACAGAGTCTTTTTACAAGGCCTGTCGTGACAGGACAAGGGGCAACAACTTTAAACTGAAAGAGGGTAGGTTTAGATTGGACTTAAGGAAGAAACTTTTTACAATGAGGGTGGTGGGACTGGATCAGGTTGCCCAGAGAAGCTGTGGATGCCCCATCACACTGGAAGTGTTCAAGGTCTGGTTGGATGGGGCTTTGAGCAGCTGATCTAGTGAAAAATGTCCCTGCCCATGGCAGGGGCGTTGGACTAGATGATCTTTGAAGGTCCCTTCCCACCTAAACCACTCTTAGGAATCTATGACGCCACAGCATGCGCTAACAGAGAGACAGAGTGTGAATGTAGGCAGCAGAAACAGCCAGAAGTTTGGAAACATGGGGGAGAACCACCATCCCTGGTGAGCTTCCCTCCAACAGGGCATTTCAAGGGTTGGCAAAGACAACAGGCCCTACAGAATATCTCACATCCCAAATTTAGTAACAGCCATTTGTGTTTTGACATTGACACTGAATTAACCAAGTAATTCACACTTCAGTATTGGGCTTTAATATTACATGTAGGTTAACTGCCTCAATAAACATTTTAATGTAATGTTTGAATGAATCATTCTCTATATTGTACTGTGACTTGTCTGCATTTAAGAAATGCTGTGTGCTGAAAACTACCACTTCTACGCATTTGTTCCTTTATTCCTGATTCTTTGATTCCCTTCATCACTCAGACTTTTAAGTCAATTTCAACTACATTTGGCATTCAGATTATGAGCTCCCCAAGAACAGAGTTGGCTTTTGTTGTCTGCCTGCATGGTGGCTGTAAAACAGGCCTCCAATCCTGAGCCTTTGTTGATGATACTAAGCCTCATTCCCAGCTGTAGAGCTGGATCAAATGATATTAAATAAGGCTTTGGACCAACTCCCAAATCCTTGCAAAATGGGTTGCCATTAAATAAAGTATGAAACACCATTCGAGAGAGCTGTCATTGGAGTAGGTACTGGTCGCACTTTATTTACAAAAACCAGATATTTGTACACAGCAATCTACAGGACAGCATAGGGCTGGTATCAGGAGGATAAAGGACATGCTCAGCAGGAATTGAAGATGCCAGCAAGGAGTCATCTCAGTTTCACAGGGAACCTGCTTCCTTTTGACTGAGGAAGCCACCAGACCCCTCCAGGAAGAAAAAGAAGAAAAGCAGCAGCAATAGCCAACCCAGGCTGATGTTGCGATTTTTGTTATTGTTGAGGCATGGGAACACAAGTGATTGGTGAAGGAAGAAAGAGGAGACCAGCAGGGTTTCGGCATGCCACTAAGGGCCATCCTGCCTTGTTCTTTACTTCCAGCGCCCGCCAACCTTGCCTTTGGCTCCTGCCTTCTTGCTGCTACAATACAAAAGGAAAGAAAAACATGTCAGCATGATGGAAGCGGTGGGGCTCAGTGACCACTGAACATTTCTGACTCTCGGATTAGGATCGAGCTGCTTTCACTTCTAACATGTTGGGCACATCTGCCATAGAACACATCCCGAGAAAAATATTGTTGATATTGTAAAAAGAGATTCCTGCTCAGGATCTTAGTGAAAGGCCAGGATGCACATGCCTGAAAGAGGTGGATCCTTCCAGATTCCTGCATTATCAAGACAAAAGTCCAGGTGGTCTCAAAACTAAATGACAGGCCTATCCAACCATAGACTTGATGCTTCCTGAATTCAAATATGCTATGATCTGGATTTTAGGATTTAGAGCTGTTTCTGGAGAAAATTTCCTCATTATCAGGGAGTTCTGGTCAAATTCCCCGGATGCTCTAGTCATCTAGTAGTGGAGGCAAAAAGCTGAGCAATAATTTAAATACAACTAAGAATTGCTTTGCTCTAGCAAAGGCAGTGGCTCCTGCCTTATATCACGAGAGCAAGAGCCTCCAAAACAGGCCAAGCAACTTTTTAGGCCTCCCCTCATATCAGTATCCCCGTCTTGCTTGTGGTGTGTGTTGGAGCAGTCCAGCTACACTCCACACGCAAAGCACCTGAGGCAAATTCTCTCCAAATAGTATCTTCTTGCACACAGAAGGGCAATCCTGCATGCAAGCCACTTACCTTCTGACTGAGAAGCAGGCACGCCTGGAGTCAGAGAGAGGCCAGGTGTGAAGTTAGTCGTGTTAGATTCTGCACCGGCTCCCATAGGCAGCACCTTGACTTTTGGGGCTCAGCACACCACCAAACCTTTCCATCTCACACACACGATGATGAGGCTGCTTCTTGAACCAAAGCACATGCAAACTGGGGGCAGTTCTTTGACAAGGCAGAGCATGGGGTTGGGGGCCAAGCACAAGGTGGTGGGGCCTTGCTATCAACAGAGACGCCTTCTTCAGAACCACTGGTTCCTCCAGGGAGCAGAAAAAAATGTGGACGACACATCTGGGGAGATTTTTGTGGTGCTGCCCCATGGATTGGTTCAACAGCACTAGCCATATTTATGGAAGGATGTAGCACAGTGACACAGACGTACACATAGTGGATACTTTACCTTTTGACCAATAGACTTGGTCTATTAGGAAAATTTACCTTTTACATGAGAAAGAGCAGAGCATTTTCTGCTATCTTAAATTCATCTCAGTGTCCCTTTTGCCAGCCTTTCCGCAGGTTCAAAACCCAGTATAGGAACTGCATAACTCCTCAAATGAAGGCAGAGTCCTTTTATCTCCATAAGCGCCTGTGATGTTTGATGTTATGCCTAACCTTTAGAGTGTGCTTAAGGAGACTTAATAAAGTTTGAAGCAAAAGGATCACTTGATCCTTGTATAACACATTAGCAGACATTGCTTTGGAATGATACAGTCTAGTGTGGATAGAAATTTAAGTACACAGAAATCTCACGAGCTGTGGGCTTCTCAGTGCAACCTTTTCAAATTATGTCCTGAGAGAATATCATGTCTTTTGGGGGAACAAGCATGCAGTAATGGTACTGACTGTTGTGGGTGGTATGGTAGTGCCCCTCAGAAGAGCAGCAACACCCAGACAAACCATGGCATCCTTCTGCAGCTGCACATTCTGCTGACGTTTATCAGCCTACAGCTCTGTACAGAAAATACCACCATAAGGTCAAGCCTTACATTGGCATCTACAGACAACTGAGCCCCCAGTGTTACATTTATCAGATAAGGCAGGGTGGCTTGGGGAAGTGGGAAGGCAGTGTCTGGTCACTGCTATCATCCAAAGATGTCACCAAAGACCACC